CATCGATACTAACCAATCGTTCCTCACAGTTTTCTTTAATTCTGTAGCACACAAGGATAGTTTTCTTCAATTCTGAAGCACACAATGATAGTTTCAGCTGACATCCAAGTAAGAGCTCTGTGTAACGGGGCGTTAATTTTGGTTTTTAGGTTTCAAGTGTCATAGGGACAAAATGGGGACAATAGGATAAAATGAGATTTTCAAGGGGAGCTCGGTAATCCCTCGACAAAATACCATAAGAAAATATGCACTTTATTTAAAAACGAACATGCAGCTGGGAACCTGAAAAAGATAATCTGTGACTTCGTTAAGAATTTGAACATCAGACCTTCCCATGGTGCTTTAAACTACGGAGCTGCGTTACAAGCCAGTCCAGCATACTGATAAGATCGGCAATCAGTATTTGCTTGAATATTCATCGGAAACTCTCGAGAGGGGAAGAAGGGAGAGACTCTGTGACCCTTAGTAGGTGGAGTGTATCATCTCGTGTATTTCTCCCAATATTGATAAGATCGATATCATTTTTGGATTATCCAGAAAAAATAAGAATTCTCGTGAAGGAAATAACCGTGATTGGCCTTGGAGAAGAGGTCGAAAAAAATACAAAACAAGGAACGTCTCAGTGAACACGATAAAACAATTATCAAATTCGTAGAAGATGCCATTAATTGCATACCTCTGGCAAATGAAGATGGAGCTGATTTTGAAAATGCCGCTTTCATTTTTAATCCTCCAGTCAGGCAGTTTATTGTTATAGCAGGAAAGGGTGATTCGGAATATTACTTCTCCGAGGATGGCAGCAACAATATAACCTGTAAATGTGTCCGCAAACCCTGACTGATGTACCTCTGAAACGAAGGCACATTTGGTTTTTCTAGTATCACCTTGTTATTGTTTCTTGCTGAAGTAGTCATCAAGGCTTTCGGGTCTAATTAAGTGTAATCTTGGCGAGTTAAATATAGGTTTTATGTCTCATTAAGTTGTGCATTTTAGAGCCCCAAACACTCTAGCCAAAGGTCCCCTTTTAGTTAATTTCTCTGCGATACACAGAACGTCACTGCCTTCGTAGTTCCCGATCGCTATGTTCTGAAAGCCGCTCTTGCAGATTAAATTGTTGAGTACTGCTAAGTAAATGTAAGGAGATCTTAGATGCGACCTCCCTTTGAAAAGGCCTCTGTGGAAAAAGAGAGTGAAGTGCTATTACGATGCAATATTTTATGATTAGTATTCAAGGATTGTATCAGTCTCACCCCCTTACGATACGTTTCATTGTTGTCTTTCTCCTCTGGTTGTGCAATTACTCGAACTTGAAATTTTGTTTCTAAACTGGTCGTGTTGAGAACTTTATTTTCAGTTTTTTAAATTTCACACGTAAAAGTTTTAGCTGATTATTGTACAGTAGTTGTGCGAGTCTTATCAAGTTCAAAAGCCCGCAAGGTCGAACTCGTAATTTAAACATTAACAATAGTTTATGCTGACTCTATTTATGAGGCTTGTTTCTCGAACGAAGACGTTCGTCGGTGGTCATGTTTGGATGTGTTTAGTGAACTTGTATAAAAAATACATTTGACCGGGTCAGAATTTTGAACAAGGGGTTAAACTCTGTAGAGACAGTCAGCGCATTACCCACATGTTCACTAATAAGGTACTTTAGAGCGTGCACTACAGTGAATAAAAGAGAGAGACAATTTGGTTAGCTGTAGAAAATGTAATAAAGAAGAAGACAACCAGGAGTCTTGGTGCCTCCTGTTAGTGTGGGTTTTTTCAAAAGCTAGTTCTCCCTGGCATTGAACCTTATAGAAGGTTATACAATCGACAACTAACAGACACCCAACTACGAGACTGTTGCCAAAGTCGAAATAAAAATGAAGAAAATTTTGAAGCAAAAAGGAGAGACGTAAGCATATTTTTGCATTATTTACGATACTACATTTTATTATTCATCGCGAGAAATGTATAGAAAATCTCTGCATGCAATGATACATGGTTCTAATATTTTTCTTACCAAGACAGAATTTCTCCTTACCAAATCAATACAATATCAAACAGGCAAGTGATAAGAAAAAACAAATATATCAGCCAGGGGATTATTAGTTGATCCAATACCAAATTCTCAGAGCTAACATCATAAGAGTTGTATAGCAGACAGTAAGGAGAATTACTAATGAGATCTTGGGAGTGAAAGGGTTAAGGGAAACACTGAAGTAACGAGGAATCCCAAACAAAAAATTGTTTCAGTTGATTTCCTAGCCTTTGTTACCCATTCTGCTCTTTTGACTTTGTGTTTTTGATTTTATTTTTAGTAAAACAGGAAACGCAAAGTTATTGTTATAGAGATTCAGTTAAAAAAAAAGTGTGCACATATTGATCAAACGATGGCCAAAGATCCTATGTCAATTTGCATATGAACGAAAGAGTGTTCATGTATAATTTGTTTTCACTGAATTGGCTTTCGTTCTCGCCAAGTTTACTCTTTTGCGCGTGAAAAAAAAGCAAAGAAACTTTCCGTACGTTTTTGTCTTCAAAAAAGCTGAAGATAAATAATTGGGTGGTCCTAGCTGTTCAGCGTCAAATTATTTCGCAGATGCTGGTTTTAAAAAAAGCATTTTCTATACTTATTGTATAGCGCCACGCAAAAAAATTTTATTCTGGCTGCTTCTTTTGATATCAATGCGATATGATCTTAACAAAAGCTGAAAAAAAGGCTGTATTCCTAAACTTGAATCATTAGGAATTGAATTAGTTTAGGAAATGTAAAGCTACAAAACCCCGCGTCAAAGCGCTATTCCTATCCCCTGTCAATGCACCATCCATCAAACATAGGTTGAACTATTTTATCAACAGTTAGACTGATAGAGACTCTTGAGGAAATATACTGCACCTTTAAACATAAAGGCCAAAGTTGACTACAGATTCTTGAAGTCACATTAAAGAAACAACAATAGGAAACTATATCAATTAATTCATGAGAAAGAGCTTTTCGTTTGAGCTCTATTAAACAAGTATTTACTCAGGCACTGTCTTGAGGGGCGTTAAACTACTGCGTTTTATCGAAAGACAAAATCGGCAAATCGATGTCGCATTTCCATTCATAAAAATAAATATGGCGCAAAGAAAACTTTATATGAATTTATAGCTTTGGTTCCGGCGCGAACTTTACTCCTGTGGTTGCGTCGCTTCAAGCGTACATTCTTCTGAAAATAAAGTTAATTCATCGTCCGCTATTTCAGCATGACAGCACGCACTGCAGAAACGTCTCATTATTTCAATGTCATGGACCTGTCAAAAGTACATGGGATCATTTGCATGCAATCAAACTTCGATAAGAGGGCTATGAGGTAAAAATAAAATTGACCTGAAGGCGACGGTTCCATAACGAAATTTTGACATTGAAGTGATCCGAAATGTGACGTGTGTTTTCCCATGATTATGCAGGCTATGAAAACACAGTGTAAGGAAACAAATTTAGGAGGAATTTATCTCCACTTTCTGTGCATTGTTACGATCAACCGTCATAGAATTCCAAATAACAAGCCTTGCGTTGCAAGACGCCATTGACTTAAAGTTAAATTATCATTTTTTTTTATTAAACTTAATTGCGTGTTATTTGAACGGCGTATAGAGCCCACTGAAGGTCTGTCATTGATTCACAGCTGCTCATGATCGAGAACAAACCGTCAAATTCACAAGGAAGTAAAATGACATACATAGAACATAATTGCGCAATATCCCCAGATTTCCTTCACTTTCCTAGATTTTCCTACATTAAAATTGTTCATTCCACCGAAGGCAACTTTCTCTTTGGTTCGTCACACTGTTCGTGAGACCACTTGGCTAATTACTCACTAAAACGAGTTTTAAAATACGGAGCATCTGCCTTAAGACTCGCGAGAAAGTACAAAATCTCCTTTTTGAGTTAATCTTGAATTTCCGCACGTAAAGAGGGTTTCTTTCTTGTTTGTTTGTTTGTTTTTTTTATAATCAAATCGACGAGGAGATCTAAAGCAAAAATGGGATTATTTATAGGAACGGACTGTAAATTACATTGACATGTCCTAATTTGATGGTAAACGAATAATTATCCCTATATTCAATAAATTATGGGTAACATTCATAAAAAAATACTATGCCTCTATGTAACCAAACACACATCGATCATATACGGCTTGCTTCGAAGACAAATAGCTTCTAGACGGTGTTTAAAAGTTTGACCTCTTGATTGAGCTCTAAGTAGTTTTTTTTTTGCTCTTTAAAGCGGAAGACGTAAGCCCGTGTTGTACGTGTCTTGGAAATTAATATGAGGCATGCTGGATTTGAGATCCATTTGAGAACTCCCACATGCAAACATTTATATCTGATATTCCTATCCGGCTGTCAAGAAGAGATGCGACCGAGACCCGCATTAATATTCATAGCAAATCACTTTGATATGGTTAAAAACAGAAGTGATCAGAAGTGATTAGTTCATCAGGGTTCATCGGTCTCGGGCCACTGAATTCTAAAACCGTTGGACTGGGGAAGCAACCTTATCGATCTCCAAAGGTACACCGTGTTTCTTATTTTAGATCAACCTGAAAAAACGCTTAGATCAGTGCGGTTGAAATGTAAATCTTCCTTTAGTACTAAGAGGCTACAAGTCTATTTGCTGACAACGGCCTTCAGTGCATTCTATCACAGGTACGTTGAGTTGCCATGAGACGTTCAACGCTTCTTAACTCACAATAATTTGGAAGGAAACAAGTTGACTTTGTAAGGCGAATATATAGGCATATTGATTTCCTGTGTCCAAACTAATTCTAATAACATTACAGTCCATCAAAAATGGTTAATAAAAAAATTGTTTTTTCCTTTGAATTCACAATCGATTCCTCTCACCACACCCCAGGTTGGTATCGAATAAGATTTTAGGGGGCCATGGGTGTTCCATTTACTGATTATTTATTCAGTAATAACAGTTTTATCCTATTCAACTTTAGCAACAGAAAAAACAGGAACTGAAGATGAAACCAGAAACCGAGTGGATTGTTATCACAGTCCTTTACGCCTTTGCAGGGAATGGTTTCCTCATCTACATCGTGTGGAAGAAACCTGAAGTCAGACCACTGACAAGCTTTATATTCGTCAACATGGCCATCGCTGATTTGCTGCTAACCTTGGTAGTGATGCCCTGGTCGATTTCCACAATATATACATACGGTTTGTGGATGATCCCGGGAGTATTTGGAAAAGTCATGTGCAAAGGTGTTGTATACACTATCTATGTAAATTTATCAGCATCCATCCTCTGCCTGACGTTCATGGCGATCGACAGGTACTATGCCATCGTTCATCCCCTCCGCCGCAATCTTTGGTTTCGAAAGCCTAAACTAACCGTTCCATTTATTTGGATTTGGTCACTGGTCTCCATGTCCATTTTCCCTGTTATTCAAACCATGGAGGACTACAATAATTCTTCCTATTGCATGCTATCTGTTTACATCTTGGGTGATCCAGATAGGGCTCTTCGAGGAATATACTTCCTCCTTTTCGTCGTCAACTATCTCATCCCCTTGGCCATTATTTCTTGCCTGTATACCATCACTACATGGAATTTATGGTTCCATGTTGCACCTGGAGTGAATACTTTGAGAGGAAATCGAGCGCAACTCGAAACCTCCAAGAGGAGAGTGATTCGGATGCTCATTATTGTTACCTGTGCCTTTGCCCTTTGTTGGCTCCCACCACAAGTGGTCTACATGATGATAGTCATTCACGCATCTAAGGCTCACCTACATATACAGCCAATTGTCAGCATTGTGTGTGTTTGGTTTGGACACTCTAACAGTGCTGTTAACCCATGGCTGTTCATTTTTCTTAGCACCAAGATAAATATGGCGTTTATTAGGATAGTCAGTAGAAAAAGCAGCCGGTTGCCTTCAAGTCTCACCGTCAAAAGATCAGATGCCGTCTTACCTCCTGAAGATGATCATGAAGCAATCCAGAAAGAATCAAGAGTATAATCTCTCTCACAACATGAAACTTTTATCACCTATTTGGTAACTGTAAGATCGAAACTTGCTTCAGTAGGATTTGCGTATCACTAATTAGATAATATGATAGAAACTCCTCTATACGGTTTCACAAAAGTTCCTGAAGTAATCCGAGTAATTTCATGAGAAATTGATAATTGCAACTAATTTCGACAATAACCGTTCTATCAGCTGGTAAGAATAAAAAAGGGGATCCGTGGCATAGTGAACTATAGGAAGAAGCATACTGGCATTGCTTCTGCGGTGTTTGAGGCAGTGTGGTGAGAGTGCTGAACTAGTGATCTGGTGGTCACAGGTGAAAGCCCTCTACCTTATTACTCGCTGGATTTGTTCTCGTCTCCCTAAGGTCGATTCCTTAACTCGCTTTGTATACAGCCAACTGATGTACCCTCTGCTGGCTGGGATTTTTAAACATTATGGTTATTTACAATGTCTGTTTCCCAATTTGATTGACATGACCATGAAAGCCCCATGGGGAAATTGGTCAAAAAAGAATTACTGACATGTTTATTCCATACTCAGGCTAGCGTTAATTAAGTGTATTTGCATACCGTTTTCGTGATAAGAATTTAACAAACTGTTTCAGTTTATAACTAACTGTTTTAAAAGGAGATTTGTAACAGCCTTCGGTTATGACACACAATTAAAGCAAAAGAAATGCTTTTGGACCAAGAATCGTCTCATTCCGTTTAGAGTGGAGCGCGCTAACTACTTGGCCACCCGATCTCCCTTAAGGTTGCAATACTTGTTCTTTCTTTTTCCTCTAAATTTGTTTTGAAATAATACAATCTTGAACAAAAAACAAAAAAAAACTGAAAAGGAAAAGAGAAAATGAAGCTAATTTTCAGGACAGAAGAGTATAGAGAGATGGAGTTCAATTTTCAGAACTATCCAGCAATTTTTTTTGTCGTTGTCGTTGTCGTTGTCGTTGTCAAACGAGGTATTTCACAGTCATTACTGGCGATCTAGCTAATAAGCGAACTAGCTGATTAGCGCGCGCGAAAAGCGCAATTCATCTGTCAGCTATATACTAATTTGGGTTGTTTATTCATAATTTTCTCATCGATACTAACCAATCGTTCCTCACAGTTTTCTTTAATTCTGTAGCACACAATGATAGTTTCAGCTGAAATCCAAGTGAGAGCTCTGTGTTAATTTTGTTTTTTAGGTTTTAAGTGTCATAGGGACAAAATGGGGACAATAAGAAAAAAAAAAGATTTTCAAGGGGAGCTCGGCAATCCTCGACAGAATACCATAGGAAAATATGCACTTTATTTAAAAACGAGCAAGCAGCTGGGAACCTGAAAAATAATCTGAGACTTCGTTAAGAATTTGAAAATCAGACCTTCCCATAGTGCCTTAAACTACGGAGCTGCGTTACAAGGCAGTCCAGCATACTAATAAGATCGGCTATCAGTATTTGCTTGAATATTCATCGGAAACTTTCGAAGAGATGGGGGAGACTTTGACCCCTAGTAGGTGGAGTGGGAGCACTCGCCTCCTCACATGTAGTTGTGGCCTGAGTTCCACTCCCCAGCGATTCTGGCGATACTTGTGGGTTGACTTGGTTACTATTGTTGTCGTGGGGAATAAAGTACACAGTTGTTCATTGGGAATTTACTAAAACCAAAACAATCACAAATGCACTCCATCACAATAAAAGGCTTCTTCGCGCAGATCCTTGTTGTCGCTCTGTTTGCTATAAAATAATTTGCTCATGCTTTTAGCTGTGCGTATATCGAGTTATGGATGCACTTGAGATAATAACGTAACGTCAGAAGACCGGTGTTCTTCTAGATTACTGTTATGTTTAGATCTAGATTTGATGTGCCATAATGTACTGCACCATTACCTAAAAATAACAATTTGGTCATCATCAACTATCACTGTCGTGGTCTCCATTTAGGGCAGCAGAGGTTTCCATATGTCAGACACGTTCACCCGGACTATAGGCGGTAGATATAATCCAATGATCAACAATCATTGTCAATATGTGTTTTGGCGTTCGACTTTACAAAATATTCAGTTAGTTTGGGTTTCCTCATTTCTTGTTTACAAAGCGTTATCCATCTAAAATGGAAATTTTCAGGAAATGTGTTACTTTAATTTTTTATAAGGAAGAGACTTTTATCATTCTATTTTGTGATCAGCATTTGTCATGTTCTGCTTGCATTTAAATACTACCCTGAATCAGGTGTAGTCTCCAGAATCACGTTTGAATCTAAACTATGATGGAACTTGTAAAATAACCATCGAAGGCCATCTTAAATTTAAAATTTGAAATACGTCTTCGGGTCAGTGAAAATAACGAAATTTTTACATTTGGGATTTATTTGGCAAGGAAATTGGGGATTTAAGATCCAGGACTGTAAATATTATAAATGAAGGAGGAGACAAGATATGGGAGTTTCTTCAGTTGGATTCGAAAAGACAGATCGAAAAGCTAGAAAAGACACCCACTGTAATCCGCTGTAACAATAAATTAACCATGTAAACATATTTTCCAAAATTCTGATCACAAGAAAGTCTTAACGAAAACCGTGTTCTCACGCAATACATACGAAATAAAAAATGATAACAAATTGAACATTTCTCAGTTATCTTGAAAACTGATAAGTCTTTAAAAAATATCCACAGTGATAGCGTAGGCATTCTGCACGCAAAAATAGCATATAAAAAAGTAAACATATTTTCAGTAATTTGTATAAAAAAAGGGTACGGTATGGTACCACGCAAACATAATAGGAAAAAAGATTAAAAATGAAACAATTTGAATTGACGTAATTCGAAATTGAAACTGTAAAAATTTGAAATAAAGATGTCATCAAGGTGTTTTATAACAATGAAACAATTTGAATTGACGTATGACGTCGCAAAAATTCGAGAAAAAAACGGATTGAAACTGTAAAAATTTGAAAGAAAGATGTCATCAAGGTGTTTTGGTTGAATTTTACGCAGCGATCACCATGCTTGAATCTTCACGCATCGTGGATTCACTGTACGGCCTCTCTTTTTGAAGTTAGAAACATTTAAAAAGTGCAAGAGAAACTAAAAACAGGTTTGTAAAAACATTATGAGTGGAAGACACATTTGATATTGGTAATTTTCACCTATTTATTTAGGATCGTATGTGTGTGATAATTAGAACTATCCTGTCAATGTTGCCTCATCAGCGCGTCGAAAGTGTCTCGAATCGGGAGATTGTTTAAGGCAGAAGATGTTTTAATTTAGAAATATTTACTTTTCTTTCTCAAGGTATTACTTTTCGTCATTTTCCATCACTTGCCGTTAGATGACAAACCAGGTTTTAAGAGAAGAGGACAATAGGATTGGTTCCGTACTGCATACAGTCGACTTTTTACTCTTTTGATTACACTGAAAAAAAACAAAACAAAACAAAACAAGAAAAAAAACGGAAAAACCTGAAGAACTGAGGTTCGAGTCCTCACCTGGTTATAATATTATAATATTTCCTTGGCCCCGCCTTCGTGAAAAATGGCTTCAATCTTTTTCCAGAAACGTTTTTGACTGATTTATGCGTCCGATGCAGATGTTATCAGACGTTATAATTTGCATATCTTGGGACGAGAGGAAATAAATTTGTAGATGGTCGGTGCCAGCAACAGCAATTCGTAATTTCAAGTTTTCCACATGTTCGTGGATGAGACGAAAGTTGTAAGAACAAAAACGTGCCACACGAAGCACAGCCTAGTTTGACTCTGTGAGTTACTACTGAAGAGACCCACGGCAATATTTATTTGCTTAAATATTGATTATCGGGATGCCAACGAGGAGTCTGTCCTCCAATTGAACATTAGTAAGAACTAATCCAAATGAGTGTGATTTATCTTGTTATACAAAGCTATGGCGGCGTATAGCAAGTGTTTATCAGGTGTATAACTTAACAGAAAAAGCAGTCAGACATAGAAGTTTTTCTCGTATTTTTGTTTTCTTTTGTACCTATGCCCTCTAGGAAAAGATCGCCACGCTGGCTGTACGAAACTGCTCGGATTTATTAAAGAAAAGGAGGTAAATGTTTTAGCAAAAAGTTTCAAATTTCAGTTGTGTCTAGTAATTATTACGGAAATGCTAGATGATGGAGATATTAGGTGAAGTTTCTTTAAGTCAAAAAGAGTATGATAAATGAATGAAATTGAAAGATTTCGATAAAAATTCCGAGTCAATTGATGATAATGAAAGAAAATACCCCGACTTTTCTGACTTGTTTCGTTATTTTTCTATTTGAAGTTCATAGTTATTACCAATCAAGCTTTCAGAGCAGCGAATAATTTTGTAAGTATCCGAAATCGGTCGGGTGTTCGGTCACACTTTAAGAGGTTGGCTTGCGGAATCTCTAGAGTTGGTTACATCACGTACAACCTTTCCATATAAAAATTACAATTTGAAACCTGTTAATTTTGATGGTTTTATTAATTATTATCGGCTTAACGCTTCTGAAAGTCGTGATAATAAAATTATCTTTTATCCGTTTTTATTTTTTTTAGCATGAAAAGTAAGACACGTGCATTCTGTCTGATCACAGTTTCTCTACTCACCAAGCCTCCATGACCTTCAAAACATAAAATGTCATTTTATCAATGGGCAACTAGCTGTGGGTTCGTTTTTTGTTCGGAGCCAGTTGAGAAGTGATTTGGCCTCTGAAAAATTCAAGCATTTGCGAGACTTCTTGGAAACTTCAAATTTCTTAATCTACAGATTAACATTAAATATTGGGAATTTTGGATCAAATGCATCTATTAATGATGCATGACACAAAAAGGTGAATAACATGGAGATGTAAAGTGTGAAAAAAGTGGGATGACATCTCTGAATAAATTCCGACTCTATGCTTTTCCTTTGTTCTGAAAAACCAGAAGAGTCGTCATTACGGACATAAATGCAATGTTTGTTTTTACAAACCGATGTACATGAGAGTTTTAATCCTTTTAAGGTCTTTTAACCCTCCTAAT